AGAGAAGCATCTACCAGGTACCAATCAGGCAAATTTCTGTACTTTCAGTGATGAGAATCCATGCATCTTTCATAAAATTGGACTAGCTGGAGCTGTGGTAGCCCTTATCTAATGATCCCCTCAAGAGGGTCCTGAGACATGTGCAGTTATGAGGGAACTAAGCAGGGCTTGAAATGTATGTCTGATAATGACACAGGGCACACTGCAAGCGACCCTGTGTCAAGGAGTCAGAAATAAAGCAGTGTACCCTGGCCAGGTGGTGATCTGAATCTAGAAGGGTAGGTGACATACAACCTCCTTGTGTCAGCATAGTGTGGTAAATGATACCATAGAGGAGAGAGAGCATGGGTCAGGGATAAAGGGGATATATGGGTCAGGAAAGGCTTCCAGACAGAGTGAACCTTAATAGAAGTCTTCAGAAGTAAGGAGACCCCAGAGGGCAAGTTACACTATGGTAAGAGATGAGAAGGCATGGTGGGCCACCAAGGTGGGCTTAGAGAACCTCCCACCAGAATGATCCCAGTCATCATAACCACCATCCCATCCATCCATTCAACCATCCATCCACCCACCCATCCCCTGCTCTACTTCCCTACAGAATAAGTGTTAAAAGGCAAACCTAAGAATGCAATCCCTTGCTCTCCTTAAAAATAGAGATAAAAATCCACCATTCATGACGTCAAAAAAGCCTGCCCACTTATCACTTGCAATACACTCCTCATATTCCCCCACAGCCTGGTCCTCTGCTTCCTCAAGTCCTGCTTACTCTCACACTAGAACCTTTGCTTTTTCCCTCTACCCCTCACACCTAACTTCACATCCCTTTACCATGGCAGCTCTTATTTATACTCCACACAAATGTTACTTTCTCGGAGAAGCTTTCCAGTGAAGCCAGAGCTTCCAGTATACTTTCTCATTGAACTTTTTCTTCATAATACTTACCCAAGGTTACCCCCTGCCCCCTCTCTCCCCTCTCCTCTCTCTCTCTCTCTCTCTCTCTCTCTCTCTCTCTCTCTCTCTCTCTCTCTCTCTTCACGTTCTCATCTTGTACTCAAGTTTAAGACCCAGCAAATCAGAGACCTTTATAGCTTTCTTAAACACTTGAATGTTCAGAACACATTACAAAGGCCAGAATATACACTTCTGAGTTGTTACAAGCCCACATCTCCCTATTGTGCTCCCAACTCTAAGTTAGTTGCAACTTGTGTTTGCACTGCTGTTTCTGTTAAAGAGATATCCTTTAGATCTATTTCCATTTATCAATGGGGGTAGAAATGGAGTTTAGATGGAGAAGGCCCAGAGATCTCTGTAACATGAGGGGCAGCATACTCTCTCATGAAAGAGAACGAATGAGCATCATTTCTGCCTCACTGCCTCACTGGTGATCGCTATCCACCAAGCTTGTCGACACTTGGGTGCTGTGCTCCTACTCTGACATTATGCTAATATTTCAGTTGCAGTCACTTATGGATTCATTCAGGTTTTATTTCTGTATACATGTCTGATACTATGCTGAAAATTCAAGTGAAGGCAAGACAGACAGAGACACATGAGGGCTGCATGCCAGCAAGATAATTCTCTCAAGTGTCCATCCTTGCACAAGTCTGAGTACTTCTGTGACCTCAGCATAGACTCAGGTGTCAGAATATTTTGGGCAAACTCCCAATCAGGAGGTCTCTACCAATTTTTTGAGCTTCTCTATGCTTTTGTTTTCTCATCTGTGGAATAGCTCAACATACCACTCCTTCCACTATGGTTATGGGCTAACTTATCAGACAGATGCCTATTAAACTCTCAACACATAGAAAGTCTGACCACAATGTTTATATCTGTGCAGCAGGACCAGTTACACAGGTGGATCACCTGTGTGGTTACCCAGGGTCCCACACCAACAAGGGTGCCACAGTCAGTTTAAAGCTTTGCTATTGACATTTCAAAATAATTATTTCTGCACATTGGATACCCTATTTTCTTTAGCACCAGGCTCTGACCAGTAAACATGAAGAGCTGTGCAAAGTCTGCTGAAAGCAAGAATGGATGGATGTCCCCAGCCTTTTGTATCAGCCCACACATGCCTTTGTCCTTCAGAGCCAGCCAAAAGGATTAGCTTTGGAGCAAAATTCTACCTTCAGGGATTAGGTTATTCTTTTGGGAACAGGGTCTCACTACATAATCCAGGCTGACCTTCAACTCACAATTCTTCTGCCTCAGCCTCTTCAGTGCAGGAATTACAGGCACAATACTCCACCCAACTCATGTAGATTGTGTGACTTCACCATACACTTACCCTAAGACTGAGAGCACCCAAAGCCAGACTCAAAACCTTAAACACATTTTCATGAAAACATGCATTTACCCCCCCCCAAAAAAACAGACCAGCTGCCAAGCATCCCAAGTGGGCCAGCAGGTGATCAAGGGTAACTCCTCCATCTCCTGGGTTTGTAGTCTACCCTCCTCCCATTCTCTCTGCACAGAGAGACAACAGCATTCCTGGACAACAGCATTCCTGCTTTGCTTCATCCCATTTTACAATGAAGAAGTCAATGTTAGGGTGCAATTAGGTCTTTCACCATCACCCATGCATGCTGTTCCTCTGCCCACCCAGGGTCTATAAAGGCTTTCCAACAATGAGCCTCAGAATTTGAACCACCTTGTAAGTATCATCAAATGTGACCATTGCATGCTAAATCTGAGGCTGTGTCCCCAACTCTAGCACCAACCCATCTGTGCTGCAAAACAAACAAACAAACAAACACAAACTCATGCTCAGCAGCCTCAACCAGTGGGTATTTATTGCAGATTTCGTTCTACCCATTTGTTTTGACTCTGCAATGTACATGGGCTGTGAAAGGCTGAGAATACAACTAGAACTCCACAGACAAAAGGCTTTTCCCTTCCAAGGCAGGAATGGACAAGAAACAAGACAGATCAGATCCCATATGGTAGGATGATGGTGCTGAGCCTTCAGGGAGAAAGGTGGGTAGTACAAGATTTGGGGTAAACAATAATTGAGATGTAAATCTTTAATAGGATTGTCAATGAAAAACAGACATATGAACAGAGACATAAAGGTGAGGGGGCAGGCTGTGAAGCTTCCAGAAGAACATTTCAGACAGTAGAAACTTCCCATGGAAAAGCTCTGGGGCTTTAGCCTTTATTCACAATGTAGGGAGATCTCTTAAGAGACTCATATCTCCTCTCAATGCAGCGCCACCTACAGGCCAATTCAGTCTATAGATTTACAGCAGCAATTATGTGTTGGGGGCTACTTTATTTAGCACCATAGTGGGGTTTTGTTTTGTTCTTCAGATTTTTATGGGAAAGGTAGTCACATTCAAAATTATTATAAGACAGTATTTTATGTATCCAAGGATGCTTTTGTATTTCTGATCTACCTGTCTTCACTTCCCAAGTGCTGAGACTACAGACTTGAAGCACTGAGACAGGTCTTATGTGTCACTGTTGGTCCAAACCAGGGTTTCATGCTTACTAGGCAAACACTCTGACAACTAAGCTACTTGCCTGGCCCCAAGAGAGGATTTTGAGTGTACCCCCCAAAAGAAATGACACATGTTTAAGTGTGTAAGGCTTGCTACTTACACTGATTTGGTCATTACATATCAAATACAGAAATCAAAATATCACGTTATACCTCCAGAAATATGCATGATGCTGTGTGTCAATCGAAAATAAAAACGAAGCAAAAAGTTAGACAAGATATATCTAATGGGGTTTGAAGTATCAGACTAGGCTTAAGTGTACCTACGGGACTCTGTAACAACCTTGTCCTTTTAGGGATCTGGGACCCTGTATGTCCACCACAGACTCGGCTAAGTCCAGCAGATCCCTCTACAACTTTGATTTCCAGTCTTCCCCTCCTCCACTCTGCAGGGAGAGCTCCCCATGGGGACAGGACTCTGGGCCATTGCTGGAGACCCAGAAAAGCCTCAGCCTGTTCCTTCTCTCAGGAACAGATGTTAGGGGAGGAGTGGGTGTCCAGCATCTTAGAGCCAGTCACATGTCCCTGGCTTGCATCTGCTTCAGCTTGCTCCTGGAAAGGCTTGCCTCTGTGCTCCTGCGGTGCCTTTAACACACCGGCATAACTTAAGCCTGGGGCAGATGTCTCTCCCTAGCGTATTCTTGGGTACCCTTGACAAGTGAAGAAGCTCTTGGAGCGCTCTGCCTGCCTCTCCTGCGAAGGGGGCGCCCCTCCACGTCAGGGATCCCACCTGCTCAGCTCATACTCTCCTTCACACAACCTTCAAACACTTCAGACCACCCAGCCCCCCACATGCATTTGTGTGTGTACTTATTCGAGGCTCCGCCTGAGCCTGCTGAGCCCTCCTGCATATTGATGAGGGTTTCTGCATGTTTTCACCAGTCTAGCTAGGTGTGGAAGAGATGAGAGCAGCGTCCGCGTGCTTGAGTGTGTAAGTGAGTGAACCCGCATGGCTGGGCATTGTGTGCCTTTGTGTGCGTGTGAGTGAGTGTGTGTCTCAGTGACCGCAATATTTTTATCCCAGGCTGAAGACTGTGTGGAGGGCCGAGTTCAGAGACAGCATCATGGACCTGGTGGCACACGCAAAGATGTTCACAGCCTTCCTTCAGTTTCCTGAACCAGGCAAGAAAAACAAACAAACAAACAAAAAACACCCTTCAACATTTCCTGGGCCGAAGCTCCAGCACTCCACTCGCGACCCCATCCCCCATCCCCGTGGTGTAGAATCCTTTACATGAAGATGGACTCGAGGCATTGGCGGGGAGCGGGGATAAGTAGCTGGTAGGAGAGTCAAAGAAAAACTGAGGACATGCTGGAGGGATAAAGGAGCCGCTGAAGGGAGAAGCAGCTCGTATCCACACCACGCCCCTCCCACAGGGGTTGGAAACCCAGGATAGCCTGTTCTCCAACCCGGTCTTCCTCTGGGGTTCCCAAATTAACCGGGTCTTTTCCTCCAGAGCTGGAGCCAGAAAAAGCTGCTGGGACCCAGCTCCGCTATAACGTCCCACCCGATGCTCCCACCCCCAGCGCGTGCACGCGCGCGCGTGGAAACACACACACACACACACACACACACACACACACACACACAAAACCATTCAGGCAGCTGCTGATTGGCTGAGGAGAACGGCGTCCGGACCGGGGTTCTGAGGCGGGAGCTGAGCGGTCCTAGGAGGGAGGTGCACACTCCCGCTGCTAGAGCCCCTCCCGCGTCCCCCAAGCCCTGCTGGAGAGAGGAGCAGCCGATCCAGGAAGGCAGGTGCGGAGCCAGCTGAGGATACCGGCCAGGGCTGCTAGCGGTTCCCGCCGGGTGGCGATCCTGGATCCTGCCCCAGCTGCTGCCTAGTCCCCACCCGCTTGGCAGCTGCGCCGAGCTCAGCCCGGCGAGGGGCGCGCTCATGGAGCACACGCACGCCCACCTCACCGCCAACAGCTCGGCTTGCGGCTTGGGCTTCGTGCCGGTGGTCTACTACAGCTTTTTGCTGTGCCTCGGATTACCAGGTGAGAGGACCTGGGGGAGAGGGAGGGAATCGCCCCAAGTTGCAACCTCCGGGGTCCCAGACACCCTCTCGGGAAGTGCCCTGGAGCCCGCTTTGAAAAATGACAAAGTTTAAACCTTGGTGGCAACTGTGGAGGTTTCCAGATGAGGATGAAAGGACGTCGCATGGCTTGGACAGTGCTTGTGTGGCCTTGGGGCATTTTGCCTTGTGGGTGTGCATCCACTCCAAAGCGTGCTGGTGTTCTGGTGTTCTCTCTCTCTCTCTCTCTCTCTCTCTCTCTCTCTCTCTCTCTCTCTCTCTCTCTCTCTCTCTCTCTCTCTCTCTCTCTCTCTCTCTCTCTCTCTCTCTCTCTCTCTCTCTCTCTCTCTCTCTCTCTCTCCTCCTCTTCTCCCCTCTTCCCTCTCCCCTCTCCCCTCTCCCTTCCCCCCCTCTCATCCCGCAGGAGGGCTGCATGAGACTTAACTGCAGCTTCTGGGCAGAAAGGTTAGGGAAGGCTTCTCTACCTTTGCCCCACACTGTCACCTCAGCTGAGAACACTTACTTCTGCCACAGGATCTCTGCCTAATGCTACATAAAGACCTTGATACTGGCCACTCAAGTTTAAGGGTAATGGGATGAACCCTTGCTACCTGCCCTAAGGGAGTGAGGTGTCTCCTTGTGGCTAAGAAGAGTCAAGAGTCAAGGGGTGCCCCTGGTCTGGGCTGGATGGGGCACCTGTGCAGAGAAGCGCAGTGACTGCCAGAGCTACCAGCTCAGGGGATGGGAGTCTCCTTGAGTTTGTCTGTCTCCTCTGACTTTGCCCCCAGGTCAACCCCAGCCTCCCCTCCCAGGGTGAGGCAGGTGAGTGGCTGGCTGCTCCCTCATTGTAATGTCCTCTTGAAAGGAAGCTGAGACTTGTAGTGAATTCCTGAAGAGAGATGAGCTGCTGAGGAGGAGGGCTGTCTGTCTGGGCTGTGTGGGAGAGCAACTGGGACCAGGAAGAAGAGGGGGCAGACACAGTGGCTTCAGTTTTGGGTCTTTGACTAATCCTGTCATCCACACAATGTCAGGGACATTCCTGGGGTCACCTGCAGGCAGAAGAAAGAGCTAGAGACATAGAGACAGAGTAAAACCCCTGTCCAAGACAGCATCTCAACCTCCACCACTTGGCATCTCTGCTCTGAGAATTGAGCATCCTAGGATCCTGAGAAGCTGGGCTTTAGTATTCCCAAATCCGAGAGCCCTCCCTTCCTCAAACATTTAGGGAATCCAGAGCCCCTGGAAACATGGTTTCCAACAACCCCCACTCCCAAGTTGAAAAGCACAGGCAAACACAAATTTCCTAGCATAGGCTCCTGAGACTCCCTGTGAAGGCAAGCTCTCCTCCTAACTTATCCCTGCCTAGGAGAGGGGCTCGACCTTTGATGTACCCTACCAGGTAGAACACTCCTGTAATTACCTGAAGCTGAAATTTATTTCCATCCAGGTTGTATCTCCCTCCCTCTCCTGCCCTCCAAAGGCTGTTCCGAGGGTGCTCTATTGGGAAGTGAGTTTTTGAGAGGTTGGTTATGTGTGATGCTGGCTGAAGTGAAGGGGAGCCAGATGCCCTCTCTTTGACAGCACTCCACCCCATCATAGTGTAACCAACCTCCTTCCTGACCTCGCCATCTCTCCTACTGCTTGTGCTGGACACTTGCATTTCTTTCTACAAATTCTAAGGGGCACCGCTGCAAAGACAAGGAAGATGACCTCCATGAGTCCACAACAGGACGTGAGGTTAGGAGGATGAGGAATGCTAAGACTGTCGATGACCTCAAGGCAAACTGTCTTGAACCATCACAGTCTAAATCTCCTGAACAGCCACCATCTTTCCCACACATAACTTTGGCACCCATTGTATGCTAGACACTGTGCTTGGCATTGATTCAGCCCAGAGCTTAGGGATTTAAGAAAGAGAAGGCTTCAATTTGAACTTAGATGGTGTGTATATACTCATAGACTTAGCTAACAATTTTGACCACCTACTATGTGCAAATACTAAGGATGTGCCAAAGGGTTCCCAAGGGTCTTCAGGGGCCAATCCCTGGATTCAGGAATCATCTGCCTTTAGAGGCAATAGCTGGATACAGAAGGATCAAGCATGAAGGGGAGATCAGTCTTATCCAAAATCATGGGCAAACACACTTTTGTTAACAACCTAGAAGGCTGGTTCATAGGCAGAGTCCTTGTCATTCTTGAAAAGCAGTGGTTCTCAAATCTGTGGATTCTCAACCTTTGGAGGGTCAAGTGACCCTTTCACAGGGGTCACCTAAGACTATCAGAAAACACAGGTAGTTACTTTATGATTCATAACAGTAGCAAAATTACAGTTATGAAGTAGCAACAAAAATAATTTTATGGTTGGAGTCACTATAATATGTGGAACTGTGTTAAAGGGTCTCAGCATTAGGAAGGTTGGGGGAGCACTGTTTTGAAGCCATATAGGAAAGCAAACAAATGTGAGTACAGACAGGATTAATCCAGCCTCCACCAGAGTCAGGTGGCATGATGGCTCTGTGCCTCAGTTTCTCTCTGCAAAATGGACATTATGAGAGTGGCTTTCCCTAGGGTGGTAGCAACAAGTGACAGCTCTGGTGAAAATGAGGAGGTGGTTAAGCATGCTGTTCAGTGGCTGTCACCTGCAATGATTGACACTGCGAGGCTGCAATTATAATTGTCATCACATGGGGTTGTTAGGAGAAGGGGGCTGCTCAGCATGATTAGGGAACCAGCAGAGGGTCCAGGAGGTGCCTAGAGGACAGAATTTAGCCTGACATTTTAGCCTTGAGAGTTCACCATGGTAGTCTCCTCTTCAACTTATAGTCACCATCAACTAGCATGCCCCTCATCACCACTGCTGAGGGAGAGACACAGCTATGTGGGGTGTGACATAGCAACAGGCCTTACAAATATTGTTGAAAACTGAGAGTTTAATTGAATCACTGTTCCCAGCAGTGAACTCACTCCAAGTTTTCTAAATCCCCCCAGTGCTGTCAGAGATGTGGATGGAAATGGAGAGATGGATGGGGAATGCCTGGGTGTTTGCCAAAAGAGATCCAGTAATTACAGGGAAGTGGCAGGTGTCTCTGGCCACATACACCCTAAGTTGGCAGAAAAAGCTTGAAAAAAGCCATGTGGTCTAACACCTTACTCTAAGTAATTGCCTGTGTGGACCAGGGCAACAGGCCTGGCATGAGTCCAAAATTCCAATATGAAGTAGGGCAGAGCTAGCCACTTAGGAATTCATAGCCTGTCTGTCCCACAGTTTGCCCCATCAGTAAAATGGGTAAGAATCATGCATAATTACCTCCCCAGGTAGAATCTATTAATTCAGATACATTATATAAAAATCGTTCAAGTCATACCTATGGTACTCAGAAGACTGAGGAAAGAGGATTCTTGAGATGAGAAGTTGGAGGCCAGGTTAGGAAGTATAGCAAAACCTCACCCTGTAAAACATTAAGAATAATGTATGGTTCAAGAAAAGCACATTTTACTCAGTGCCTTCTCTACAGCAGATCTTTTCACCCACATGTTGCTATTTCATCTCTATTACCTCCTGATGACCTACACATGTATCTGAACCCATTTCATAGTTGAGTAAACTGAGGCGTAAAGAAGTGCCACATATGCCCCCAAACCATAGAGTCAAACCAGAGGTAAATACACCTGCTCTTTCTGTTGCATCACATTGCCTTCCTTCCTCCTTCCTTCCTTCCTTCCTTTCTTCCTTCCAGAAGCTGTTCTAACAATCTTGATTCCCCAATGCTAAAGCAAAGAATATTGGCACCCCTACCCCTCATAAACCTCCATCTGTTTCTCTCCCTCCTCCTTTTTAAGTGGGGAAGAGGTTTCTTATTTCTCAAGACACAGGAGCTAAGTCAGAAGAGCTAATGCTGATTCACTTAGTGGGGACAAAGCGATATAAAGGGATGGCAGAAGAGAGTAAAGACCGTGAACTTGAATGCCTGGGGGGAGAGCAAGGGAGTGATAGGTGAGCTGCCCTGGTAAGGAAGGAACCTTGCAAAGTTAAATGGGGATTTGAGAGATTTTGTTTTAATTTTGCTTTCTGAAAGGTGCTGCCGACATGAAGGAAAGCGGAGTGAGGAAGGAAATGATAGTTTGAAATGGCACCCCACCCTGCAGGAAGGAACACTTCCACAGCTGCCTAGCAAGGGTAATGAGATCTGCTTCTGATGGCTGGGTTGAAATGAAGGGAGCCTGACATACTATAGTTACCATGGTTATTAACCAAAGGTAAAGATATGAGTGGCCCGGTGACTGGGCTGAAGCCTGCAGATGTGCTTTCTTTAACCCACAAAGAGTTTTGATTAGAGAAGGTAGAGTAAATGGACTAAGAGTGGGGGCTGGAGCTCTGCAGTTCTATGTCCTAGCTTTGATGCTTATACCCTGTGTAACTATGGGCAAGTGGCATTAACTACCCATGCTTCAACTCCCCACCTTTAAAACTTGAGGGTTTCAAGCTGTATGGATGGCATTACCTGTTTCAAGGGGACCCGCGGTAATAATAATAGTCCATGCATTGTAGGGTTGATGTGAAGACTGAATTAAGCACTAAACACAGCACTTTGAACACAGTAAGCACGCTGTAAGTTACATTGTCATCATTTGAAATGTGGGGAGATTTCCCAATTTGTTTGATGATACCAGCTTTATACTATCATCAAAGTAAGACCGATATCAGAAAATAAAACTATAAACCAATAAGTCTCTTGACAAAATCCAGAAATGCCTTTAATCCCAGAACTCAGGAGACAGAGGCAGGTGGATTTCTATGAGTTCAAGACCAGCCTGGTCTACAAGAGCTAGTTCCAGGACAGCCTCCAAAGCCACAGAAAAATCCTGTCTCAAAAAAAAATCCAGAAATGGCCAAGTTATTCAATCAGAATCTAAGAGAGCTAACTCAATCAGAACTTGGATTTATCTGGGAATGCCAAATTTTACATTTTACAATAACGTTAA